TATATATATATAGCACACATAAAGGGGTTTCTTTGAAAAGAGTATACTATCGAACTAATCCTCGGAAGCGCGAATCTCAGATTCGTAGCATTTGCATTGAATCTGCGAGATCTCACGTTTAAATCTAATCAAATATTATGCGTGATTATACAATAATCTATCTTAGCGAGATAAAACACAGTAAAATATCAATAAAATCATTGGCGTGCAGGATTTATCTGTTATTCTACAAAATTTTGCTTGCTTATCAATATTTTAGTTACATTTAAACAACATCTTAGTTACACATAAATCATATCAAACTCATCCAAGATGCTAATTTTTGAATTCTATTTTATAAATTGCACACAACTTAACTATAACTATTAATTTATTTATGCCAAAATGCATTTATCATTAAATGTTTATTTTTCTTCCGGTGTATTGTATTATATCTATGCTAAAAGTTATATATTCTCTAACAAGTCTATAAGGCAACATGTCGAATTAAACAGATCTAATTTGTCAATATGTGTGGCAAAACAATTTGTTTGGATCAAAAGATTCAGTAAAGATAAATTTGTTATGCTTATTGATTATACGTTTAAATCATTTAATGCAATAATCGTAACAGACGATATTTCTTTCATAAAAAATTGATCGGGATAACAAGTTCTTTTTCATTGTCTATAAACGTAATGATTTAAGCCGCTGATAAATTAAAAAGTAATAAATTTTTGATAAATCTAAACAAATTTTCAATATTAAAATTCTTTTTCGATCATTTGTTTCGTTGTAAAGAATTTTTCTATAATTACGCGAAATAATATATTTATGGCTTAAAAATAATTGCAAACACATTGCACTACTAATTAAAATATAAAACAAAAATAATTATAATTATATTTAATATCTACACTTTATAAAAATATGAGTTCTAGAATAACCAGATAAACAATTTTCCATTATTTTGATTATCATTACAAAAAGCCGAATAATTAATTAAAGTATAATTAATATTGTAAAATAAAATATTACATGTATTTATAGCTATTTAAACATTTTTACTATGTATTTTTTTTTTTTCAATAAAACTGTAAATTCGATAACATTGAAACAATAAAAAGTTGCAATAGAAGAGATCATGCATCGATAAAAATAATCACAGTTACGAAATAAAAATTTTGTAATTACTTTAAGAAAAAAACACTTTTGAAAATGCCGAGATGCAAAGGAACGATGATTTGTATTTTAATGATAATATTTGCGCGCTATTACATTACTCCACAAAAAAATACTTTTTAGACGCTCAAAACTGAACAATTTTAACCGCTCTAACTTGACGAAATATCATCGCAGACAAAAAACTAAAAAAGCATTTTAAAGCTTCAAGTTTGTACTTTGCGTGCTTTTAGTCATTTAAAAAAATTTTTTGTTTTTGCAATTCTCGAAAAATAAAGCTTGAAAAAAGGACAGATTGTTTTGTTCTTGGAACTATTTACTTTCAACACTCTGTGTAGCTTGATAAAAAAATTTTTCTCTCAAAATTTATGACAAGTGTCAAAAACTACAACGTTTTACCTATAAAATGCGTTTTTTTTTATTTTGCTACGTTTTTTTTCTCCTTTTGAATCACGCGACTTTGAAACCAGTCCTACATTTTGTATAAAAAATATCGAGTTACAACGGTTTGAAAATTGTTGAATTTTGAGCGTCTGAAAAGTGCTTCTTATCTTTTGTGGAGTAATGTATTTTCTATCACAAATAATTTTTAACATCAAATTCCCGCTTGTTTTATATACAATTTTGCACGTATATTTAGCACAACAGGTAATATATCTTAATCTATATGACACAAGTTATCGAGCATACTATGACCGAACAACCACTATAAACTACTGAAAAAACTCGTGATACGTAGAGGGCTCGAACCATGGGCTTCCAATTGCTACTCATTAAGAAGGCGTGTTGCAAAATGTTGATTTATCGTAGACCTATCGTCAATCCAAGTCGATCCAAAACAGCCTCAGAACTTCGTCAACGATCAGTGTCAATATATTCATCTTTGACAATCTGTGAGTTGTTTGTTGTTACGTAAAAGAAATCTTGTGAACTCAAGAAGAAACATTTTTCTACGTCTACCGTACCCACATGTTGATTACAAGTAGATCAAATCGACACATTATGTTCTTTTACAAGCTACTGTGCGATGTAAACAACATTTCGTTAGCTGCCACTACAAAAATACTTATAAAATAGTGATACTAATTTCGTTCCATAATAGTAGTGATTTATCCATATCCAAAACTACAAACAAATGAATAATTAATTCCGGCAGCGCCGCAGGTCTGCAGACAATTATTGACGTAAGCGATAATCATGTGAGTCGCACATTTCGAATTTGGCATAAATCAATATTTGAAAACCTCATTAATTCTCCTGTAAAATATGTATAATCGTTATAAATATGATTTATTTGTAACGAGAGTCAACATCATCACTTATATTTTAGTTCTGCTCCTGTAATCGTTTGTTTTTTTTTTTTTTTTTTTTTTTTTATATATTATATGCAAACCATGCATCAATCAACGATTATTTCATATTAACATTTTTCAAGAACGGTATTCGTATCGTATTTCAAATCTCGATTTACACCATTTTCGAAGCAGGCGTATCGATTCTTTTAATGTTGTTGCACAAGAGTGGGTCCGCTGCCGGGATTTCGCCAAGGATCCGGTATATCGAAATGATCGGGAACCGTGATGAGAGCATCAGCAGCGGTGCGGTCACCGCTGCAATTCGTCGGTTTGACACGAGTCGTGTTGACACATTCGATCGGCAGCTTGAAGAACTCGAGCTTGTAATTGTAGCCTTGGTTGGTAATACGTATTATTGTATGCAGCGGTACCTCCATGTAGGGCAGCTCTTCGGGTTTCTTATCGAGGAAGAATCCGATGATGCAGCGTAATACTGCCTGATGCGACACCACGAGGACATTGTTTGAGCGCTGCAGCTCGGCGATTACCGGTTCGACGCGGTGCATCGCGTCGATGTAGCTCTCACCCCACGGATAACGATAACGCAGCTTGTCCTGATCACGCCACGCGAATTCCTATCGTGAAATTACGTTGGCGTCAAAAATAGCGTAATCGCGCTTATCATTCGTAATCAACAATTAATTCTGATAAAAGTTTATTCCCCGAATTTCACTTGGATTTAATCTATCGTTTCGCATTCGAATATATTTTAGTTGATAATCAAAATATCTTTGTTGTTCTTCGAACAATCGCTGAATGAAAAAATATTGACATATAATTACCTGCGGATAATGTTCTTGCATTTCCTCATAAGAGAGGCCCTCGCACACGCCGGCGTGTAACTCGTTCAAAGCGGCTACGTGTTCTTGAGGGGCTTCGATTCCCCGTGCCGTTGCGATTGTTCTGCGAAGACGACTGGTGAGAACTCGAAGATCGGGAATACGCATCTCGTTAAACTTGTTTGATAAAGCTTGAGCATATCGCTCTCCTCTGGGGCTTAATATTGCGTCGCCGCCGACTTTACCGAGCACATTGTACTCACTTTCGCCGTGCTGTAACGTAATATAAAACCATCAAAGTTTATAGAATAAATTATAAAAGTAGAAAGAACGAAACAGAAAATATACAAAGAAATAAGCGATGCATGCTTTTATGAATTCTATGAGTTTATCAATTGAGAAATTGATATACAACAAAATTGAGAAACTAGACAATTTTTCAAACAATTCAATGTTTTCGAGAATTGGTTTCTTCGAATTTACTTAATATTATTTTAAATGATGCTGTATATTAGATAATTATTTACCCTCGAAAAATAAAGTGTATGAGATTCGAGACTGATATCTCCAAGGTATCCGAGCACGCTGGTTTCGACATGACCAGATACTTTGCAGGTCTCTATATCCATAGTAGCAATATCGATTCTGATCGTCGGATAAGTTCTCTCGTTCATGGGCTCGTATGATCGAGCGTAAAAGGCAATTTTTGAGCGTAGATCTTCCGCTGCTAAAGTAGAATCGACGTCTACGTAATCAGCGCTGTGTCTCACGATCTCCTGTTGGTTGTGCTCTAGAACTTTCGGATCGTTGCAAATGCATTCGATGAACAGAACGCGATAACCGAGTTGACCGGAGAAATAATCGTAAACTTCTGTGCGCTGTGCTCGTGTGATCAACATAGCGTCCAGGAGCTTGAAAGAGAAAGAAAGCTCTTGTAAGTAATTACGCGATTTATTTAATCATCACACAATTAAATCAAGAATATTGCTATTGTCTTTGCAATTGTTATTTCGCGAAGAAAATAATGAAAAGGTTTGGAATACTTACCGCTACGGTATTTCCGGATGTCAGCCATGCTGCGCAATCCTGCATGGCATCTCTCTGAGCGAGAGTTCTTAATGCGTTGTTTGCCGCATTGTCCGATCGAAAGAGCTCGTCGTGAGATATATGGGGTTCAAGCCGTTTTCTTCGATAATCACACACACGGAATACTAAAACAAGATTTATAGTATGTTGTAATTTAATCCGTGTGTAGGTTTCATTAAAAGTAAAAATCAAATGCAATAATAACTAGGAGATAAATCTCTAGACTAAAATACAACACATACACGGATGACGCGCATGCAGTGAAAGCGAAAGAGAGAAGAAAGAATTTATTAAATAAAACAAGTAAATTAAAATAGTTGTTAAATATATATTTACCTTTTGTGGTCACGCCATTCCAATTGAGTCTGCGAGCAAGACTCTGCCCGATTTGGCTTTTTCCACGAGCTGGTAAGCCGCAAGTGGCTATGACAACCCCGGCGAATTTACGCGATGATTTCGCTACTCCCGGGATTTTTGCTGCGACCTTCTCTTTGCCGAGATCTAAATAGAAAACAGACAGTGGAGCGTTAAAATTCTATTTGTACTTATTGATATCGCAACAATTAACAAACTGTCACGTGAATATGCACAATATGTACAATGTGCTAAAATCACGTTTAGCTTTTAATTATTTAATTTAATTAATTTTATTATTGCGTAAGGTTTTATTTTTTAAAAGAGGAAACATACATTGAAAAATGACGATAAAGCATATGTTCAGTGAAACATATTTTCCAATGCACTGTGAAGTAAATAAAATTTTCGGAAAATACAGAATAGCTAAATATAATTATTAGTCATAGGTTCGTTAAATGAGACACACTTCGCTCTACTAGAGAAAACATTTTGGCAATATATATGATCTTACGATCTATAGATATGAGCAGCGGAAATATGAGAACGATTAGGTATATGCAATTTGCACAACATGACAACGTGACTCTGAACTCGCGAAAACATAGTATTGAAATTCGCTCTTGAAAATTAAACGTAAAATGTTTGTAATAGATAAAACCCACAAGCATAACGACAATGCTACATACATTATTCATTATTCTAAATTTTTACGTTAGCGTTACGTAGCATAAGTTGAAAACATGTCGTGCGTTATGAAACACCACGTATTATCATGTGCAGAAAAACAATTTCATATTGCGACAATCATTAATTCTCTGTTGCGAAAACTATACGTGTTTTTAAGAAAGGCTGTAACATTATCTCAACAGTAATCGGAGCTGTGGAACGTATTTCATATGAACAAAAAAACGGGAAATTCTCATAAATGTTTTACCACTAATGTAAGATATGTTTTACCACTAATTACGTAAATAGATTAGTCAGAACGTGATAAAAGTTTCAAACTTCCAAATGTGTCCAAGGTGAATAGATTACAAAAAAATTTACTACATATCGAGGAAAAAACAATTGCTGTACAAAAAGTATCTATAACTTTATTCAATAAAGTGCATTATTTAAAGTATTTTTCTAAAAATACTTTATCTTAAAAGTACATTGTTTTCAAATCTCGTGTTTTTTTTTAATTATATCCTTTTGCGTAACAGATGAATAACATCAATATTTACTTTATTTATCTATTTTGCACATGCATATAAATTATCTCACCTAACACACACATGTTTCCGTAAAAGCGCAAAGATTACAAATAAAAAGAACGCTTCACTGTCATCGAACACTTGACAAGAGTGACAAATTGAAGCAACATTCGACGGAAAAAAAATCGATACTTGCTCGCTGCAGACTCTACACGAATCTAATGAATACTGAGACATCGAATGGGCGAGCAATTGAATATGTACGTTGCCGCTACCGGGAATGAATTTTATATTTAGAATTGCAAATGCGCGTGCATTGGTTTTGTTTGAACTTTTCCGTTGTCGAAGTTGAAGCCAACTCTGTAATTCATATTTCAAACGTGGTAATACTTTAAATTATCCGACACGAAAAAACAATAATTATACTTTAATTTATGTAAATTTTTGCAAGTTTGCGATGTCTTTTATTACTACTAAATATTTTTCAAGGATTTTAAATGCCAAGAAGTTCATTATATTGGTTGAAACCATATTATTTATATTTATAAGTCTAGTAGAAACGCTAAATTTTAATTTATAATGATTCATAATGATATTGAATTTATATTATTAAATAATTATCATTGTGATTATCTACAAACAAAACGGAAATAACAGCTTAAGAGAGAAATCCAGAGCATCACCTGTTTGAATATAAGTTTATCTTTCATGTTATATCTTATTGTTAGTATGAAACCATGACACAGCTACTCCTTATATTCTGAATCATGTTATCTAATCAAAACATCATCAAGAGATAATTAATACTTTCGATCACTATGCGTGTGAAATCAATTTATCGTCTTTGCGCATATTGAAAAACACTTTTATCGTATACATTCTCAGGCATATACATAAATATTGCATGTAATGTGTTTATTTATTCACTGATATAAACAAAGAGTATTAAAGAACTCACATTAAAAACCTGATAATTTTTTTAAGATAAAGCCTGAAAAGTTTATCAACTTTGTAATTGATCCTCTTTTGTTGCAATTTTATTTAATTTATTAAACTTTTATCTAATACCAAAATTGAAAAGATTTTATAGAATTAAATTTACAAAATATGAATAACTGTGTGACTAAAAATTTTATTTCTAAATTAATTTTACGTAAGTTTTACTTTTTTTAATAAAAGGTTCATTTAAGTTTTAAATTGCCTCACACACACAGATTATCATTAAAAAGTCACAATAATTAACGTTATTCCGTAAAGTTTTTATAAGTTTTTTTGTACCTGAATTTACAAATGAGAGAAATTGTGACAATTTTAAAACTTTTTAAACTTGCATAAATTACTTAAAAGATAAGATTACTTAATGTGAATACGATTTTGTTCCCGATAGCACACGTGTAGTGATAAGTTATCGATTTCTCAATGTCAGTCAGAATGATAAATTGAACGTACGTTTCAATATACACGAGTTTAACAGACATATAATATTTGCTTTTTAATTGGGCGAAAATTTTTTCATAAAAAGTATTATATTATGCAATTTTTCGTAAAAATTTATTGTTTTGCTTATAAATTTCAATTTCAAATTCTTTTTTATATTTATAATAGCAGAAATAATTTACATAAAAATAATATAATTACATATAATATGTGATTAATTTAAATAATCACATAAAAATGTGATTTAACTTCTAATAGTATTTTAATAACTCCAAATTTTTCATCAAGCATTGTGATACCGATTCTTTCACAGAATTATATTTCGAACAAATTATAAGAATCTGATCCTACGTGAAAAAAATGTCGTTTGTAACTCGAGAACAGTGTCGAAAATAAAGAAATGATTGTTGTAACAAATGTGAAACGTAGATTGATCGGATAATAACTGCACGTGCAGGATAATAACTGCTTAAGTTTGCATTAATGCTCGAAAAAATCTGATTGTGAGCTGTGTAAAATGAAACACTATTTGTTTTTTTTTTTTGCGTACCAATAATTTACTAAACGCGTTGCGTATAAAAAATAAAAATCATGAAGATTATATTCGTAAACCATATCCACATGTTTATTTATATCTTTTATAATTTTAGCCACTCGCGCCTTCCCTTGTGCCCAGAAGACAATAACAATATAATATGAATTCGTGCACGTTCTTTATACAGTCTTTACAGGCTAGGTACGCAAAAATCTATGCCGTTAATTTTACACAAGAAATAGAGTGAATAAAGTATAAATCTAGTATACAGTGAATAGAACTGAATTGCAATATCACAGACGACGACCTCAATAATCGAATCGTTGTTTTCCTTTCACTTCTCATCTCTTTCATTTCATCGGATTTTATTAAACCGGCTTCTAATGTGACATAAGAACAATGTACATCATAGAAAAGTTATCTGCGCAATATTATTATTTTATGTGTGTGTGTTCATTTTTTTCTAAATAAAAAAAAGCAAATTCAAATAGAGTAAAGAATATAAATTATAAATTTCTTTTTTACTGCAACATGCAATAAATGTTTGCTTAAGATGTTGTTAAAGCGAATTAACTAATATTGTTTTAATAATGAACAACATAAATGCATGTGTAGTTAGCGATAATAATTTTTTAAATGATAAATCTACTGCTCGAACAAGTAAAGTTATTCAAACAATAGTATATTAATTATGTCGCGCTTAAAAAGATAATCCAATTGTATGCTAATACTTTTGAGATTATCATAAATACAATATTTGGAGATTTTTTCTGCGAAACGTATTAAAACCCTATTAATATAATAGGCACCCATGAAATTAATTAAATGCTTTAATAAATTTTTAAATACTTGTTAATTTAAAAGGAATGATGCAACCACAAGACTTGGACTATAATTAAGATTTTATGATTCTTGTTACAAAATTCAAGGTTCTTTTCATTAATTTAAAGATTGCATAACAAAATGCACTTATAAAACCAAAAGTCTCGATTATATATCTTATTATACATGCGTATTTTTTTTCTCCCTCATTTCTTATTCGACCGAAATATAAATTTCGCAATTTTAATATTTACCCAATTGTGTTTAGATAAGTCATTCAATCGTGTAGTAATGTAAAAGTAGGCATTTAAAAAGGAATGATTAGAACAAAAAAAAATACGAATTATATAAGCAAACGTCAGCATCCCTCGAGTCAGTCGCTACACGCGAAACACTTTACCTTGACGCTGCTCTTCCGCGTTAGGAACCATGGTGGTGTCAGCGTTCAAGGGTGTCTCCTCGTTAGACGTTTGCTGCCCAGCGGGATCGCTCTTTTTCTCCTGCAGGACGCCGGCTTGTAGAGCCAGTTTTCTGACCGCGAGACAGTAACCCAATAACGGAGTCGCCAGCAGCTCAAAACATGCTGCGACCCAGGGCATAACCGAGGAAACCGTATAACGGAGAACGATCGGTCTTCCGGAAATTTTTGATTCTCCTTCTCTCTTTCTCTCTCTCTCTCTCTCTTTTGATTACGACAAAATAAAGATCAATCAAAGGGATAATTGCGAGGATCCTCGGAGCAAAAGGAAGCCCGAGTATAACCCGAGTCGCTTCGAAAAGCCAACGAGCAGGAGCCACCTCTACTCTATCGCGCAAATATTTCTACCCGCGAATCGTCGCGCCAGCTTGGCCGATTCTCCGCTGCTCCGGTTTCTACTTCCAGGTTAAGCTCCCGGCTAAAGCTCTTCCGAAAAGTGGTCGCTGCTCGTGTGTCGTATTATGGACAGCAGGTCCTCCCGCATTCCAATTTGCTTGATCCTCACTTCCGGAGCCAGTTTGCGAGCTTCTTTGAGATCGATCAGAGAAAAGCCCAGGCCTCTAGCTCGCGGCGTGCCGCGCAATTTCCTCTCGCTCGCGTCCGTTCCTTCCGCCGCTGTCGACGATGTTGTTGTCGTCGCTTCTGGTATCGTAACTCGTTGACAGCAGTGCGCGCGCGCAGATGAGCTTATTCGCTGGTAATTTACATAGTAACAACGACAGCTCGCTCCAATCTCACCGATTGCTTTTCTTCTTCGAAATTCTGGGCCACAAACCGGGACGATCACTGTCGTGATCGCTCTAATCTCTCCCGCTTTGTTGAAATTTTTTCCCTTCCGCTTCTGTTCCCTTTCGACGATAATCGATTGACGTGGTATCAATATTGATGCGCACCCAAAGAGAAATTTCGGTCGATACTTCTCGAAACTTTTCGACGACTTCTCATCCACGGCTTCTCTCAGCTTCTGCTCTTCGCTTTTCACACTCTATCGCGACCAAAGCGCAAGTATGCTTCGCTGTACAAGAATAGAATCGTGCTTGTTGCTGACGCAAACGGTCGATATACACTTCCCAACTGTCTGACGACTAGTGCTTCTCGTGCTACCACGGCTTTTAGCAGCATCGACCAGAACTCGATGTGAGCGAGTTCTCCGTCGTAGCGAGCCAATCGAACATCAGCTGGCCCCTCCATCGCGATGAGCAAACGTGCGCGCCATGAGCGAATATTCGTTTTTCCTTGTGGCTGTAAATCGATGCATCTGTTTATACTGAGAATCGTAAACGAGGGAAATTTCGCGCAAACTCCAAAATTGTGCGCAAACTTTCCACGGAGAATAGGAAAATTCTTGCTATCTGCATCCGCCAAGTTAGCTCCGCTGACCTTTCGTCGTTGTTGAATCTTACAATTGTTATTTGATTCGCTTTGTAAGTTTTTCACAAGTAAAGTTACATCAAAACAAAATTATTAACAGGGATTTAAGTCAATTTACACATTTATGACGTATGTCGCCGCACATTTTCTCTATCAAAACTACAATTTTTATTCAACCTTTTAACGTGTTTGAAATTCTTTGCGATAGTGTTGCGATAAAGTCGCGATAATCGTAAGAGATTGGTCTCGATGCAGTGAGAAGTTTTTTGGAGATTTAACTAGTCTTATGCCTCTGTCGTTGTGTCTAACATTATTAAACGATTGTCTCGATGGTCTCGATGGTTTATGTTGTCTGCGACATACATATTTGATTAGAATCGTAAATTGCACATGTTACGCCTGATGAAACCGGCTTGTATTTTTCTTGGCCGATCGCACGTCCAAAGTCCATTTTTTCCTATTTTCACGTAATCGTTTGGCAAACAGCTATCCAAGCGCACGCACGTTCGGCGTCACTGAGTTAAATGAGGTGACGCCGGATCATTAATGTCCTGACCTGCTGGGTTACATCACGTGTACCCGGGCAATATGGAGCAGCCTCTTCGTATAGACAAAACGTGAACTTTGGAACCTGTTTTGGTGTCGCTTCAAAATAACATTAGCCACAAAAAAATAAGTCTTATTGAGAAAATCTTATACGTAAGCACCGCGAATTGTAATATTAGAACACTAAAATATAAGTGATACCACCTACACGTGTATATCAGCATGTGCTATTTTTGCAATACCCCCCGTGAAATTATCGATTCAATGTTTGTATAAACTACAAGAGTAATCCTTTGCTATATGCATCCTTTGCGAAATAGTTATAAATAAATGTGCCCATTCCGAAGACGTTAACACAAAAAGAAACCTGGCCGAAAGATAGCTAGTAGGACATTTAAAAAAGATGAAATCATATTTTCGCTCTCTTTCACCTGCAAATATTATTAATTGTATTATGAATTCATACTCTTCGTATTTTCATTATATTAAATTTTTATTTTTATTATGTTTTATATGTATATAAAAAACATAATTAAAAAATAGGTAAATATCCGCTAGCGCATCAGCTCTATAAATTTATATAAAATTAGGAAATTTCCGATAGATGAAGAAACCATGGATAAAAAATATACTTATGATAACAAAACATTACGACAGTAAAACTTGTTTACAATAATAAGACATTCATAAACAATGACGCCATGAGACATTCGATTTTTGTAATTACACCTACCCATTTTTTTATGTCTACTTACCCATTACGTAAGTAAACGTCAAAGGCTCAACTTATTAGATGATAAGGAGAAAGCACATCAAAATGTATATCTCTTGCTACACGTGATAAATACTACTCCGATGCGTGATAGAGGTCATACATGATTTAAAAGATTATAACAAAACAAAATTATCAAACTACTATCACAAGTTCAAACTTTTCGTTCTTACATAATTCTCACATAATTCATTAATATATAGCAGAACTTCATAAAGTTTTATATAAAAATTTTATTTTTAGTTAGAGAAAAATCAATTCTAAATATTTTATTAAATTCTATCAATTGTATGCAATAAAAGTGCGAATCGATATACAGAACAGTATCGCTGGGCGAAATCGATCTTATTGTTAGAACGTATTCTCGTCAATCTTGATGAGAGTTTATTGATATAATGTATATTAGTTAATGGTCAATCTTATTCCAGCATTGTCAATCAAGTTTTATCGAACTAATCTGAAGAATGTTCGACAGGTCCGTATAACTGAACTATCGTGTCCCTAAGTAGATTCTTGAGTCACTTGCGCAAAATCTCACAATCTCATGAATCATTGATTTATTCGACCGTTAATTCAGCATGATGTCAAAACAAGGAAAACTGGAAAATTTATATACTTGCAGTGTACAAATTAACGATGGAAGATTTTCCAACTTACTCGGATGATTCAATAACGTATTATATAAATTAAAGTAACATCTTCTACGATTTGCTAAACTTTGAAGAGTCTAAGAGAATGTATTTTTAGAAAATTTTAACTTGATACTGAATTTAAAGAAAATAAAGTAATTTAAAACGAGTAATAAAACTAAAAGTAAGTTGTATCGAATATTACAAATCTGTTTCTTTTATCTATGCGCGCGAGTTTCTTTATCAATTTATATTATTGCATATTTGGAACATAAGTTTGATGTATATTATTGAAAATTACAAGATATAGTTGGGAATTTATCATGAAATTAATCAAAATTAAGCTTTTAAATTCCTTCCAAAAAGATATTTATGCACAAAGGAGAGGAAAAATAGTTCGTCCCTTTTAGCTTTGGCTTAGCTTCAGCTCTGAAACAATCAAGGCCTGTCATTGGAGAGCTCTATTTTAAAATAACTTTGTCACTACAAATATCTACATACAGGCCTGCGGTCACTGCCGTCCATTAACCGCAATAGAGATGTGTCGTTAAAGTAAAGAATAGAGATAATAAAAATTATTCGGCACGGGAATATAAATTGAAATATTTTGAATTGAATTGACTATCATAGATGGTTAACAATAAATTTAAGGATTCTGTGTAACAGAGCACACACACATGCGCGCGCGCGCGTACACACAGTCACACAGAGCAATATAATAAAAAATAATTTCACAATTTATATTTTTGATCGAAAGAATCAATCAAGTAGAAATAGAGAACTAATTATCTCTGAAAAAGTTCTCTTACTGCAAAAGATATACCGTAGCATATCTATTGCAAAATTCCACTTCAACTATCTTTATAGAAATGACTCTTTCCGTATATACATAGTTTTCATATATCGCAATGAGATTTTTAATTAAGCAAAATAAAAGAACAATAAAATTAAATAACACAAATAACAGCATTTATTTATATATATCGTGAATATACACATGTATTATGAATATACATATGTATCACGTATATTATTAATGTATAATTACATTACTGGAAAATGGAATGGAAGTCATTCTTCAATGCAACTGTACATTAATAAATAGGAAAATAAATATGTTGCTTAGAAAATTCCAATTGAATATGCGAGACCTGCATAAATGTGTAATGTTGTTGCGCTTATGAACAAAGTAGTAATGGCCTTAATAATAAGTGTCCACCATGGGCCAGCTAATAAGAACGATGTAAGAAAGTCCAGCACAAGTGACCTGTACACTGTGAGTATGAGCATACTAACTACTACAGGAACTAAGCGACGTTGTAAATCATGTCGAGACCACAACCAAACCAACGTTGCAGTTGCTATGTGTTGCACCTGTTAGAAATAAATAACACATATAAGTACAGAAAAAGTCTCTTACAATTTTTCACGATAAATAATTACAAAAAATGTAGACAAAAAATACTTACCAAATTGATATTTGATTCAAGACTCTTTTGAATATATTTCCAATCAAACTCAGCACCACGAGCTCCGACCCAAAGCAGTAAGAATCTTGTAAGTAGCACTTCCGCTCCTGCCCATCCTATACCAGCAGTTAATACCTTAGCATGGCCTTTCCCAGGAATGCTATTTAGTACCAGCAAAATTCCTACCAAGTCAGCTAAGTCAATAGATGACTTTAAAAATTCCTAAAAATATGTTTTTACTTTTCAATGGTAATATTTATTTTTGAACCAATAAAATAAGTAATAATAAAGTATTAACGTTTGCAAAGAAAAAAAATCTGATAATACATACTCCAAACACATCAAAACCCTCTTCACCAATATTGTCAGCTGTTGGAAAAAATGTGGCAAGTGCCAGCATTTTTACGAGTTGTGTAAAGATGTAAATACCACCTGCCTGAATGCATTTCCAGAAAGCACCATATTCTGATCTAAAAATGTCAGTGTAAGAAACATTTTATTCAATATTGCTAAATTTAGGTTAGAGAATCTTCATAATAAATCCTTCCTTGGATACTTACAAGCCAGAATATTTGTAAGTTAAGTAGTATGGCACATATACCAATGCCAAACAGTTACCGAAGTGATATAGCGTCATTTTCAGTGATATTTAGCTAATTTAAGGTCCGAAAAAAATTAACTACTCATAATAAAATTATGAATTACTCTACAACTCTACACATCGCTATACCGTCGGCTTCAACGCATGCGTATAAAAGTAAGAACACATGCAATGCAAGCAAGAGTCAGTGGTCCAGCAAGTTAGGTTGGTCAGGTTTGGTTAGGTAGTCGCAGACGAAACGTGCCATGTGGTCGACGTGATGTTTTCTAATTTGATTCGTATATATTGAGGATATTGAATATATTGAGTATATTGCGTATATTGCGTATATTGCGTATATTACGTATATTGCGTATATTGTTCCACGTAAGTGTCTCATTCAACTCTATTAATTTTGATTGATGATCTGTTATAGATTTTTTCAACTCACGTGATACTGATTTTGATTGTTTAGCATTAAAATTTTATATTTTAAACATTGAAATTGTTTCGAATAAAATGTACATTTTATTCATTTTTTTGTCTTAGAATCATATATCTTATTATTTGGTAGGCCTAGAACTTTACTGCGATGCATTGAAATCTTATATTCTAAAGAAAGAAGTGACATAGTATGTTAAAATATATTTTATTTATTTTTAAGCCTTAGAATCTTATATCATATCATTTGATAGACCTAGAACTTTACTGCAATCATTAATTGTCTTATATTATAGAATTTTATTTCTTTCTTTCCTTAAAATATAAGATTTCAATGCATCACATTAAAGAAAATGTATATTCTAAAGTTCTAACTTAACAAATGTTTTGATATATTATAAGGTATAAGGGTTGATAAAATTATTCATTTTAACATTCTAAATCATTTCTTTGTTTAAAATATAAGTAAATTAATTTTTCTAAATATTGTATCTCTTTTAGGTTCTTTAAATCTTTTTCTACATTTATCAAATCGAGAAACATGTCAGAAGTTCACGAAGCTGTGGGGAAGAAACGGAAACAAAGGCGTTCTCACACGCAGATGGTGAAGAAATTTGCTCGTCAGAGAGATACCGGCAGCAATCTTGATCAAGATACTTATCAATACTTGATACGTATTCTCGACCTAATGCGCAAAGATTTTTCCACATCTGAAGAAAAGATAATGTTTGTGCAGAACGTATATCAGGAAATAACAGGTCGCGAAGCTGAATGCGCGCGTAATCAAGTTGGATCTCGTGTCATGGAATCTCTGCTGAAGCATGCTAGCTTGGAGGCCATTCAGACATTGGTTCAAGCATTCGAAGTCTCTCTAAGACAATTGAGCAGCGACAAATTTGCGAGTCATGTCTTGCAAGAAATAATAGTGGTCTGCGCTGACAGAGGCAACAGAATTCCTACATCTACCATTAATGAGCTTGTGAAAGATAAAACAATCACACCAAAATTAGAAAAAACTGATAAATTGGTCATAGAAGATAAACTTGATACTTATACTATTGAAGTTAAATCTGAAGTGAAATCTTACAATGCTGTTGTCATAGAAGATAAACTTGATACTTATACTATTGAAGTTAAACCATCTGAAGTGAAATCTTACAATGCCATTGTCCTGAAGCTAAGTAAATATTTTTTGAATAATATTGAAGAATTTGCGTTTGACACTTACGCTAACCATGTATTGCGGACAGTCGTAGAATGTCTAGCAGGATTAATTGGAAAGTCTGATAATGAAGATAAAAAGAAATTTACTGTACCGTGCCTTGCAAAAAGGCGTCCTGTGATACAGGAGTATAAAGATCTACTGATACAAAGTTGCAATCAACTACAGAAATGGCCACTGTTTCGTGACTTTGCACAGAAAGACATTACTTCTGGCTTAGTACAGTGTGTCTTATATTCGTTGAAAGATGTTGATCTAGATTTAACAAAAACTATCATCAAGAAAATTATAATCGCTTGTTTTAAATCGAAAGAAGATGAACATTTTATAACTAATGTATTTGCCACAGAGAGTTGTGTCAGGTTATTAGAAGCTTGTTTAATGGTGGCACAGCCAAAAACTTTCAAGAAGTTATATAAAATATTTTTTGCTGGAAAATTGGAACTTTTATGTTTGACACAAAAATTTGCACAAAGTTCAAATTTCAGTGTGCAAAGATTGATGGATTATTGTGTTACCAAAGAAATCTTTGAAGAGATATTTGACGAAATTTCAGAATATTTTCCAAGAATTTTGCAACGAGGTTTTACTGGAATATTAATTAGTGCTGGAAATGCATGTAAGAGGTTGCAAACAAAACAAGGTGCATTTGTTAATGCAATGATCAAGTCGTTGGAATGTGACAAGTCTACAGAAGATCAAGCACAACTCATGCGTTGTATTGTTACTTTGAAGAGTCCGACTCAACTGGAATCAACCTCGGATAAATCACGACCAATTCTTAATTTACATGGAAGTTTAATAACACAAGCTATATTGAATTTCAACAAGCCCATCAAAATCGTGAACTCTCTATTGCAGATGGACAATGAAGAACTGTTATGGTTATTCGGTGATCCAAAGGGCAGTCGCATTCTAGATGCCTTCATGGACAGTAAATACATCGGTGAGAAGAGCAGAGAAAAGTTATACAAGAAGTTACACGGTATCTGGGCAGAGTTAGCTAAAAGCACGCATGGATCTAGATGCGTGGACAAAATGTGGGCATCGGCGCATATGAAGCAAAAACTCCTCATCATGGAGGAATTAGCCGCAGCTGGAGAATCTTTAAGATCCACAAAATCGGGCCAGATTATCTTTACCAAGCTGAATGTTGCGTTATTTGCGAGAAATAAGAAAGACTGGTCGGAAACACAAGGAAAAGAGGAGAAGACCAGAGCGTTATTCGCGGATATCATTGGAAAAACAAAAAAATAAAAATTCCAAAAATATGCCATTGTTTATGGTATAATATTACTTTTGATATATATATTAAATAACTGACAAAAAATTAGTATTTTGTTTCTCTAAAATGTCGAACACATCTTTCTTTTTTATAAATTTATGATAGAAAAATAGATTTTAATGCAAGAAAGATACACAGAAAGGATACAAGGATACAAATATCTCTTATCTTTTGGAAAAATATTATGATACTATAATAATATATAATTATTATATATATATATATATATATATATATATATATATATATAATTAAAAAGCAATGTACTTTATATTTAACCTTGATATTACATAAACAAAATTTAGATGTGTATTTGATTATTTCATCATTTAATGTTTCTTAATATAATCGTGAGGTAAAATGAAAATATCCGATATTGTTTCTTACGTTCTGACATAGAATAATCATATATTTTGTTAACTTATAAATACATTTTATAGGATCCATCATACATCCCCGCAACGCAATATGCCTAGGAAAAATTACAATAATTCATAGTCTAGATTTGAGCAAAGTCCGCTAACGCGTATGATCGACAAATCCGCTTCATCTTCCCGTGACTAGACTTAAATGTACGTGATAATTAATAATTATATTGTATGTTATATAATATAATATAATTATTAATTATAGCCTGAGGTGTGCGCGCAAAGTAAAGGATTCGACTCTCGTTACATTAGTCGAACAATTGTTAAATCTATCAATTGACTAGGACAAAATCGATGTGATTCGTTCTTGTAAGAAACATCGAGATGAGTGTTAAATACGCAAAAAAAATCAAATCATTGATGTATGTGTGGCTGTGCGTGATACGTGTATGTATGTGTATGTATGTGTGCGTGTAACTATTTATATCAATTTCACCTCGCGATACATATTATTTTCATAACGATATTTTGCAATATAATATTGAATCACAGTAAAAAGTTACATCCATGTGAGAGAACACATATTGCTCGATCGTTTAACAAGAAGAGAAACTAACTCGCGTATAACAAATCGTATATAATTTTATCCATCATATATATGTTAACTGGTTTCGAAAGCAATAAATTTTGTGCTTCGTCAAGTTTTTATCAAAGAAGAAGATGCATTTTCTTAATTGTATCCACATAAAGTTTGCTAATTAAACGAGTGCGTTTTTCAGCTTTGTTTCGCTTTGTTTATATTAAAAAAATTCAATCTGCTAATGATGAAAACGAGAAAACGCTTACGCTAATGAGAGAGTTATTTTCGTAATACTACTATTTACTGCGCTAATCTCGATTCAGAATAATACGAATCACGCATCGTCGATTCACTGATCGAATTCATTATCTATTCTTTCGTTCGAGGAAGAAAGTGTTTAAAGACACGCATTATTTCTATTGTTTTGTGTAATTCTACTAACATTGAAAATCTGCAATTTGATAGAGGATAAAAAAGAGAACGATTGATGCTGATAAACGCGTACATTCACGACAGTGCTGTGCATATTTTGCCGGCGCTATCTACTTGGAAAACGCAAACATCTATTTGGTCGGTTACGCTACTTGACGTGAAATCAGTTGCTCATTTTACGTGATTAATTGATAAAGTCCTAAAACACATTTATCACACTTGACGTTTCACCCAAGACATGTAATCGAGTTATCTAAGTTCACATGCTTTCCTGTATGTTCTCGTGCTTTTTTTTTATATCAACCACTTCAGCCAATAATGTAAAATAAATATTAAGTTATCGAAGTATTATATACAAACAGACACTTTCAGAAAATGCTTCAATCTTTCAAATGTCTTCCGGACTTTTGTGCTGTTTCATTGCTAAGTATAATTTTAAACACTACTGAGATGTCAAAATTGAGATTCATCAGTTGGAGATTTGTATTTTTCTAATTGATTAAATTTTGATAAATTTTATTTATCATATATCATCGTCTGACTGAAACTACAGAAGTATCTATTCAATGGATAATTGATTATTTCCAACATTTTCCAACTATTTTTCTTGACAAGCGAATAATCAATTTTCTGATATATAGATATATTGAGTTGCTTGGATTCTCGTCCGCGCGTATTTTTTCCAGATTAAAAAAAATTTCCGGTTAGTTTCGTGGGAAGAAAAGCACACAATAGTGAGAGTACGCAGAAGATGTATGATCGGTGAAGACCTTGCAGAAAATAGATGAATTAAAAAGAATTAGCAGAATTTCATTTTGTGAACATATATGAGCGTTTAAATTTTCAACTTACAGAATAACTTTAAAACTCGTTGTTTGCTGCTTTATTCTTATTGTTTCAGTTCTAACGATTTAACGACATTTTAAATTAATCCTCAATTTCAAAGCTTAACGTGTTCAATTTTACCAAAGAGACAAATTCCTCTCGGTTCATTTTAATTCATCCATTTTTTTACAAGAGAGAGTACTCGTAGGAACACGCGAACGCGCGATCAGCGCGATTCGTAATCTATTGATTTGACCGATCGGTAGCCCAGATTCCTCGCACCGCGACGTCACTTTCCTTTTGAGACGCCGGTAGACGCCACCGACGCGGCGTCAACCTCGTTTATGCTCGCGGAAAGATTTGTGGCGGCGACCCTCGGCGGACTACGCGAGGCCGATCTTCGTGGTTCGCGCGGAGGAAGATTGTTGCAAGTCGCATGATGACCGGCTTCCCAATCGCGATGTTGGCAAAAAGAGTCCGCAATACCGGGCAATTCCGCAACCACCGCAAGTCTCTAGAGCGGGCCTGCCGCAATTCCAACAACTCTGGAAAATAAATAAAATATTTAATTAAAGTTCTACTTTGATAGATTTCTGCTCTTACTTGAATAATTTAATACTAATTTTTGAACAGTATAAAAATTTAATAATCGAATAAAAGGCATCTAAAAAAATTAATTCTAAATCAATTTTATTTTGTACATTGTTCATTGTAAAAAAAATAAGAAAAATAGAGTGGAGATCTAAAAATGTGGAAGAATCTCAAAAGATAAAAATTTATGCAAAAATTAAGATTTTGAACGACATTTATTTTAAATATTATATTAAAAATTGATGATACTTGCGAAAAATTTAGTGAAGAAATTAATTACTCGTTATCGCAGTCACATAAACTGAATTTATTCATTATATAATAATTTAAACATTACATATTCTTACACAGAAATGTGATTACACTTACGGATCCCATCATGCTGGTGAGATGGACATCTTTCTCGTCTTCTGTAGTGGACGGCGTCGAATTCGATGTCGTCGTCGGCGTCGTCACGTTTCTAGCGTTAGTCTCTACCGCACTCGAACTCCCGTGAATCCTTAGGAATGAGCCCTGACGGAGACTTCCATGATTTCTTTGGGACAGAGGAAGATCTAATAATCGGTGAACTCTCAAACGTTCGTTCGCTCTCGATTCCGCGACCGCAACTGCCACGGCGCGTTGCACTTCCGCTACCGCGGCCCTTTTCACTTCTAACACAGCTTCTTCTAGAAATTTTAATAAGATTAATTTCCGGTTAGAATTCTTGTAGTTTTCAATATTGAGTCAATACAAGACAGTCAAAAGATTTAATAAAATGTAGAGTGGCTAAAAAGTTCTGAGGCTAAATTTAAAAAAATTTATAAGGTTTACTCTTAATGTTTTATATAATTCCCACGACATTTGACACATCTTGTCATAAAATCTTGGTGTTTTTTCATTGATTTACACCTTGAAACTCTTGGCTTCGATCGATTATTCTTTCCTCGAAACTTTTTAGCCACACCGTGTATAACGAGAACACCGACCGGCTCTTCGTTTGACCTCAGCGACCCTGTCCTCGGTCGCCCTGATGGTCTGCGCGACGATCTCGCCGGACAATCGCTTTAGACTGCCATCCCGATCGCCGGTGGACGATTCGACCTGCACGCCATTGGTTGACGAGGGATTGTTGCCGCTGCCGTTGGTACTGGAGCCATTCTGCGCCGCGATCACACTCGGCGGAGGTGCCGCGGCCGCCGCCGGACTGGAACAACCCCGCCGCTGGAGGATCGCCAGTGCTCTCTTCGTCTTTTCGACCATGCCAAGGATGCAGTTGAGCATCACGTGGATGTTCTTCCACTCGTCGTCGAGGCTGCCACCGTTCGGTGTCTGCAGCCCGTGACTCATCGATTGTTGCGGCTGTTGGCTGAGATGATGCGGCGTGGAGAACGCGTTTATCTGATTAATCTGCACGAGGCTAGGCGGCATCGGGCTCGGTCCGTGGCCATGGCCGTGCGCGTGACCTTGAATCGATCCACCCGAAGAATGCAGCGGATGGTACCAGCAATACGACGAGTCCGTCGGCTGCTGCTGCTGCTGTTGTTGCTGCTGCTGCTGCTGCTGCTGCTGCTGCTGCTGATGGTGATGGCTCCACGGATTGGTAGATCTTTTGCCGTACACCGGCATGTCGTCTAGAAGAGCTCCGTTTTCGTAGTACCTGAAGCGCGTTAGGATTCACTAACGTTAACGAAAGAAGTGAAAGTTGTTAATACTATAAGTTTTAAATCCAAAAAGCTAATTTAATTTTTTGCTATAGAAAAATTTGAATTATTTACTGCAAATTTGAATTATTAGCTGCAGCGGACAATTGCGAAAATTGAGAGACATTGAGTCGGCAACAACTTGCGTAAAATTGGATACATTTGAATAGATGTATTTTATTTTCTCTTTCAATCATTGGAGCATTTCTTAACTCGCTTCGGTCCTCGCATTGTTGATTACAAAACTCTTTTGCACAGCCGATTGTTTGGGGTATTCAGCGTCGCGCCGAGTTTGCCTACGAATCAAAGATATTCGTCTATGTGTAGGCACGTACATCCACATTCGTCGACACGTGTGAGCCGCGATGCGGTGTGTATTAGCAGGATGCCGATAGGCACTCGAGGCAAGTTCGCTGGTACTCGTGCGAAGAGCGTGAAGGGGTAGCGCGAGGACGTAGTGGGGTGTTCGGGAAAGGTGGCGGTGCTCCGATGATATATGGAAACGTCACCAGCAGACATATCGAGAGGAGGCCAGGGTGGCATTGCCAGGGCGCACACCGCGTTTTGTCGCCTTCGTATTCGCTTCGTACGGCGATCCCTTTCCCTCCCGCCCCTCCGTTTACGTGCATACTATCCTGACCGGAAATCCCGACCGTCCGACACTAATTTCATCAACACCTCACCTCGCGGTGGAGATGACACGTGGAACGCGTGTGCTAAGGAATCTCTTTTCATCAAAATCATTTTTTTTTATTTATTTTTAATCGCTGAAAAGTACAAAAGGTATGGATAGCTCTTATGAACAATAAGAGAAATATGATTCGACAAATAATCGATGTGTGAATTACATTTAAATTCGATTTTCAATCGCTTAGGACTCTTTTTAGCATTTTGAGATACTTCCGCGTAAATTATCGATAGCAGCAAAGTGTTAAATACCGCGTGGGCAGTTTCGCATTAATGGTATTTGACCGCGATAAATATCGGCGAGAAGTGCAGGCTGGCGGCCAAGATTTTTCCGAAACGACGACACATTTGCGGCTTGGCAAACGTACTACGCGCTCGTGTACGCGCAGAGACAAGTGCTATTCGTTTTATAGCGTAAATTATCACTATAGACTCGCAAAGATTCCACGCGATCTTGTCGCGCGTAAATCTGTTTGAGCGGCAATTTACGCGCCCTCGTTAATTGAAAGAAGATAAAGTTTCACTGTAGTTCATTTAGAAAACTACTCCGATTCCTTGTTTCATTCTTGTCTCACCGGGCTCTTGAGACCTCTTTTATCGTGAAGTCGATTTTTCTACCGCGATAGAAAAAATCCATGGAGAACCATTGTAGTCTATGAGAAGCATCTTAAATTTATGAATAAAATACAATAATACACGTATACACTCACGGGGTGTCGGAGGCACGGCGTTTCGGTGCGTGAGCGACGCCAGGATAATGATGCAACGCGCCTGCAGCGTTACTGCCTGCTGCGTGCTGAATAGCGCCGACGCCAGGATTAGAATTTGAACGCATAGTGTACTGAGTGGAGCACTGATTAGCGCCGCCGATCCCGTTTGCACTCCCGTGCTCACCGAAGACCTCGACGGATTCACCGGTCGAGACCAACCCTACGGCCTCTAGAACGGCGGACTCGTTGGAACGGAGAAACTGCACGCAACTCTGCGAATGCAAAAAAGATTGTGTTTACATTCGTTGCCTTCGCTATTACCGTTCCACGTTAATATGTTCATTCTTCTTTTCTAAATGCAAAAATTATTTTACAATCACTCGGTACATCGATCCTTCTGAGTTCCCGACAGTTTTAATTAATTATTCTAGATGCAAACAATGATAAAGTGTTAAAACAAATAATATTGTTACTATCTTTTGTCGTAACATAATGCTCTCAACGTTTGTTTCCAAAGCATATATCTTTTATTAATTTTTCCATAAAAAATTGTAACCCCAACTTCGGCAAAAAGTTGCAATACGTTAGAACGCTGAACAATATACTAACGTAAGTCTTTTCCTAAATCAGTGAGTTGGAGACTGATTGGCCCGCGCGATCACATCGGTTTCGACTTTTAATATTCGTTTCACTGCTTTCTTTATCGCCGTTCCCGCCATTCGCGCCCACCAAGTTGAAGTTCCCGTGGAGCGCCTTATTCCGTCGTGCTCTCTCTCTCTCTCTCTTGCCCCCAATACCAAAGGGTAGGATGGGATTTATCGCTTCTAATTCAATATCGGTACCTTCCTCCCGATCCCCCCTCGCCACTTGTCGTTCCTTCCCTTTCGAGTTCTTTCGCTTTCACGACTTGCAATTAACGATCATCGATCCACCGACCAGGTGATGACCGCTGCCACGTACATATGCGAAAACGTACATTCGCCAACGACAATGTTCGTCGTCTCTTTGCGTGCATTTCCGCGTGAAAATTAATCGTGACAATTTTTCTTATTTAAAATATTAATATATATATATACTAGTTTATAAAAATATTAATCCAACACATACAAATGCCTGACTGTCTTAATCATTGGTGAAAAATAAATCTTGCGAGAAATTGGAAAGATTTACATGTATATAACGGCGAGTTTCGCCGAAAGACGTACCGCGAAGGGAAAACGGGAAGGGAAGAACCAAGCCGTCTCACTGTGCCTGCGACTTTCGATCCCCACGCGCGCCAGCAGAAATGTAAATGCTCGCTATTAATTTGCAATTCGTTACCTCACCGAAAGCGTTCTGTCGCCCGGTGCGGCGCGCTTCACTCTTTCCATTTCACTCGCCTTCGACAGCTGCACCTTTGGACAGTAGCGTAAACGGAAGGCTTCTATTAATCCTCCGAATTCGAATTTCGCGGAAATTAAAGACGTAGCGTGTATCGATTGACCGGAAACAACGGCTTCTTCGCGTCAAAGCTCGCATTGCATGAATACGAAATTAGATTTCAGCAATTTTGATACTCTATCGGAAAATCTAACAAAATTAAACACCTTAATTTACCTTAATTTTAATCCTGTTTTCAATTTTGATTTTACTTGATGCGCATAAGAACACATCTTTTCAATGGAAAACATAATTTGCTCAACTCGATTAGTGCTGTGCTTTTTTGATTAAACAATGACTTTTAATTCATAGTGAATAAAGGAAAAACGTAATTTAGCCACAAAATGATTATTATCATACGATTTCACTATCTAATTGTTTCGCGAAGATCGCTTTATCGTATAATATTTTCCTAGTCACGTCACTGTCTGTAAACCGTTCTTTTGCATCTCAGAAAATATTCCAAGCTTCTCTCTTTCCTGAGCTCATGCAGAAGCGAGTGTTCGGCGCGTGTAAAGTCCGAGAAATCTTTCGCAAATACTTTCAATTTTAATACGCCAGATTTGTATATTCAACGGAGACGTATAAAGAAGTACTAATGCATTTTTTTCCAACGTTAATTCCCCGTAAATTCGCATGAATATTACCGTCCAATATAAAATATGGTGTTGGATGCCTTTATTTTTTTCGGTACACATAAATAATTACGAGCGCTGGATTCAAACCAGCCAATGCGTGCATGGATGGCAAAGTATATCGGATTAAATCGTACATCCACGGATTTACCGCGAGAAATTGTATGCAAGGGATAATTTTAAGAACGAGATTATATACATTACAGACGAACAATTCCGAGCTCCGGTATAATTCTCCGAAATGCAGTGTTACTTAATCAGTTTTTTCTCCCGAGTAATTCTTTCCGCCAAAATCTAAATTATTTCATATAGAGAAGCTGATTTTATACAAATTTGTGATCGCGTAACTTTTCAAACCGTTCGGTTCGTACGAAATAGATTTAGAGATTGAGAGTCAGTAAAAGTATAAGTTTTTTTGCGATATCAGTAATAATTAAATTATCGTTTGCTGAACGTACGTGATTGCGTGTCACGTATCGCGCACAATATCGCGTGACTATCAAAATTTTATTTCTCGGCGTATTCTTGCTCGGAAGAGATTCAGGAGCGGAGCAAAAATTGTAGCTTTTTTTCCGTAGTCGCTCGTCTCGCTCGACGTCCCGAGTCGTTCATCCATCTTGGAACAGACTGGCGAGCTCCCACCGACGATCGGAAAGTAGCCTGGGAAATTAAAACAGCCTGCCAGCCGGCCAGGCTTGCTTCTGTTGATTTTACCGGGTCCTCCCGCGCTTACGCGTCGCGCTCGTTATACAGAGCATCCCGGAATATGCAATTTCTCACGCAGATTCTTCGGCGTGTTTAAAATCGATTTTTTCCCCGGCAATGAACTCATGAGATGCTTTTACTTGCAATTTTTTCATTAATTAATGTTAAATATTTTGACAACACACCTTAAAAAATTAACAATATGAAACAATTGCTACTCTTGTAACGAATTCAAGAAGGGGATAATAACATTTCGCATAATCGTAGAATGTTATTATAGTGGCCGTTTCACAATCGCGTTAGTTAAATATTGTAGAACCACAAAGAAATGAAGTGACGAATGCACTGCCGTAGTCGCTGGTTTGGAAAATGAATTTTATAATCTGGGAAACTGGCATCTGACGTGGCAGCCGCTTAGAGCTCGAGGTTTAAAATTTAACTAATGAATAATCAACCAGCATTTTACTGTGCGAGATGTGAATAAAGTCTAAATCCAAGCATCATGTTACAATGACATACAAAAATTACATTATTCTCATGTAATAAAAGAAATTAATTTCTATTAAAATTTCTGTCAATAAGACTTATACGGAATCATATACAAATCTAAACTTATTATAATCGTAAACAGATTTTTTCACCAAGTAAGAAGACTGCCTTTCTTTTTCAAGAATTCGATTCTTCTTTCTTTCAATTTTAAAGGGGAAAAGTTTACTGCACGATTCTGCAATGTCTTGTTCATTATCTTAAACGGTATATTTATGGTACCATCGGCTACAATATCACGAAAAAATGAATGCGCGAAAGTATTCAGAGGCGTGCCTGAGTTCGTCCGAACGCAGTAGTGCATACAAATTTATGATCCGGCGCGCGACCCAAGAGAGAGACATCAGGCACGTGCGGCATCTTCGAAAGCGTACGGACCGACCCCTGCATAACAAATACTGCGGATGGTGATCTTCCCTTGTTCGAGATGTCGCGCATTCCGCCGATTCTTGAAACGAGAATCGGCTTCTGCAAGGATGACTGAACCGCACAGTCATTTGGGCTTGGCAAACCCACAGACCTGAGCTCACGCACTGCGGTCATACATGCACACGTACACTTAAACTCACATACACGCAGTAATTAAGAATTTTAAGAGAGAAACAGTTTAAAATTGTGAATTAGATTCGGATAGTGTTAGTATGTTGGGTCTTGTTGTAAGCGTCGGCCAAGTAAAAGCCTCGATAAAAAAGAAACCGCGCGCGTAAACTACTTGTTGTAAATGACTTATTCTGATTGTGGCACAGATTCTAATCTCACGACGGATACCAATTCTTGCGACGCAGAAAATGCGCGTCTTCATGCTTTGTTGCGCGCCGCACCACATTGCACATGAGCTCAATGATTTATGACCGCGATGGTGATTATAATAAAGCATCGGACTGCTTATGGATCAGACATTACCGTTATTCTCATTGCACTCTCGTGCACTCATTGCACATTTCGCCAAATCTGAGGAAATCATATAGAAATTTTTCTCTCTTACAACTTGCGTCACTGAATCAAAACTTTATGCAAATATAAATTCTTGAAATATTCAGGACAAAACGCTCATTGTCAGTACACTGTGACAATAACGTGCATTGTAGAAAAGTATTATTAAAAAAAAATTACATAATATGACACAACACAAGCAAGGTTCACCACATTTAAAAAAATTAACATATTGTTAAGTATTTTTTTAAATACATTCCGCCGAGTCTGAGCTGAGAAAATCTTAAACGTAAAAATATAGTTTACCTGGTTGTTCGCTCTGGCAGCGTTGCTCAAGTCCCTCTGAAGAGAGGGCAAGGTATGTTTAAGGTACGGCAAGACGAATCCTCTGAGTGGGAAGTTGGTCGCCTCTTGCAATGCCGAGTGAAACTCTTCGGCGGTCATGCTGCCACTCTGCAATTAACAACACAGCGAGCGTTTAATCACCGCGTGCACAATTCAATCTTCGGCAAAAAGATCGAATCCCGATACATTTCCGGAATGTCCGCGAAACGAATTGCGCGCGCGGCTTTGGTTGGATTTGGTTTTGCGTTTGTCACGTGCCGCGATCGTTTTACAGTTAAGCACGGTCACCAGATGTCACGTTTCCGGGACGTATGCACGCTCGGTACACACGATGACATTATGCATTATGTACGTACTTTGAATATTTACGAGCTGTTTAACGACACGGCACGGTCGGCATCGATTAACTATGCTTTTTTTCATTCGTGCCGCGTGCACGCATGCATATCACAAAATCTGCTTGTTATAGTTGCAATCAGATCTCGAGTTTTGATGACCTTATCGAAATATCCGATAAAATAATATTAAAATTTATTACTTTATAAATCTACAAAATTGACAGTTTCAATTTTACAATATTTATTCAATATTATTCACCAAAAATAGTAATTGATTTTAATAAAATAATGTAATATCCTTTGCAAGAATGCCCGCGGCTTGCTTTAAGAATGCATCCAGCGCGCTGGAAAGTACGCTCATGCATGTTGCACGTTCCGTGATTTCAGTACGCGGCAGAAAACTCTATCAACTGGTACGCGTATGTTGGTACTTATTGTTGGTACACACGGATGCTCAGCCAAATACCTGATGCAATACGCGATAAGCTAATAAAGATTGCTGCATGCGCATGTCGCATAAATCATGGCGCTCAAGATTTTTATCAAAATGTTAACGAAAAATTAAGCAGATTACTAAAAGAATCATTAACATTTATTAGAATCATATTATCAAGCGTCACAGTGACATGTTAGCAATTGTCGACATCTTTCAATTTTCTCGCGTCTGGCCGAATTCGTGAAACGTGCGAATATTGTTTACCTACCAGAAGCGCAAGCACCAGCGTGCGCACCGTGTCACCCGTGTCCGTCGAGATGTCGGTGGCGAATTGCACCAGGGTGCCCAGTAACCTCTTGAGCTTGCCGTGTCCCGCAAAAATGCCGCTGACGCACCTAGACGCACCACCACCGGTGCCGTTCGCCAGCGCGGCGCCGTCGCCGCTCTGTTCGTCCGTCCTGGACGCGGCGGCATTGGCGGTGCCGGGCCCTTCCTCCAGCTCGGGCTTAAGCGACTGCGAGGGCAAAGGGCTGTCGTTGTCGGAGGATCTGGAGCAACCGGACGCGCCTTTGTACTCCGACCGAGAGCCGTTTGCCTGCTTCTGCTGATTGATCCTTTGATGCTGAGACGAAGGCGAGTGCGCCTCGGGCTGGACCATTTCCTCCCGCGAGGATTTCTCCCGCGGCGCAGAGGACACTGCAATGAAAGTCAGTGGTCCACGTGGTTAGAAATCTTGTAGAATCGAGCTAGGTGTTGTTCTCAATTTGGTTGTCGACAGTCAAAGGCCATCTATGCAGGTTGCTATTCGCTCAACGTGTTTCGCTGACGCAAACGCAAATGATGAATAACCCAACGTGTCATCGTATGCAAGATACACGCATACGCAAATCGGCCGCACGCGCCATGAGTTGATTCAATTTTTTTTGCGTTCGTAGCGACTACATTATTTTGCGTTTCGAGCTGCATTTTGCGATCTGCAGTTTTTATAAACGAGTCTTAACGTACCTTGAACCTTTACATTTATTCGCACATCTCGATAACTAATCTGTATCACTGTCTGTCGATTTATGACAAGCTTCTCGAAATGTCAGCATTAATTGCAACTAAAAGAGTGCCGTTGAGTCCAGAAAAACCCACGCGTCCTTTGTGTCGTATATCCGGGGACGTCAAGCACGAAGCACGTGGAACGGGCAGCCGGAATCCCGCCGCGCGCATACTCTTCCGCACGAACGCACACGTATGCACTCTTACACACATATACACATCCTTACATATGTGTGCGCACGTGTGAGTGTGTGCGCACGTGCGTCTGCATGCCCACACACGTGCGGACACGCCCGTGCGTGGGTGCAACGGATAACATGCAATTACGGGCCGTGTCATCCACCTTGTCTTGTTCCCGTTCTATGCGCGCACAGTGCACGTTATCTCTCGTGAAACGCCTGCGGCATGCGTGGCGAAAACGATGAGAGCATACCGAGTATGCCGATAACGAAACGTTACAGACACCAACTCTCATAGCGTACTTCGTGCATCATCGATCCGACGGAGAGTCCTGCGAAGATGGTCCTTTGCTCGCGATCTTCGATGTTCGCAATTACTCCATCGCGATCGATAGTTTGATCATCGTGGAATTATCAGAGAGAAATTCGCATAAATATGTATATATACTGATATGGATTTAATCCTTTCACTTAGTAACGATCGCTGTAATCAATATTAATTTTTTTCATGTAGCAAAAAGATCTGTGTCATTGATTTCGAATGAGAATGTGAATTAACAAATATTTAATTACGAATAAAATTTTACAAAAAGAATTATTCACTTAAAAATTTAAATAACGTTACGTAATAATTTGTGGAAATTGTTCTGCGTAGTGGAATTGACAGTACATGGCGAATGGCGATTGAGAATCACGACGAATAGAAACTTCACTAATTAAATAATTTACTCGGTGGATGGCAATGAAAAGAAATTAGTCTCGGAATCTCTAGAATTTTATTTGGTCCTTTCCTATGTCCTTTCCTTTTCGACTACTCGGAATCGTTTTCTGAATTCGCAATATCGCTCCTCGCTCACCGCTCACAAGATAAAACGAGTTGTGAAAGCAAAACAATGAAAGCTTCTCTCTTTCTTTCTCTCGACAATATATATCGTAAGATACATTACAATTTCAATCAGATTGAATTTAAACAGATTTTTATATATTTAATATAAAATTGATATAATATTTTATGATTTTTAATACAGTTTTACAATTTTTTTACTACATTTTAATACATTTACGATTTTTAATACAATTTGATAGAAATATTTTATAAAAGCGTAGGTAAAAATAAAATAATGTAAAAATTACAAATATTAAAACTGTCAAGAGCAAACTCTACAAAGCTATTCGCGTTTTAAAAATAAAAAATGGATTAAAATATAATTAGCCAGTTCCTTCACTGATTCGTAATCTCAACCATTTTATATTCTGGAACATGCTAATAACGCAATCATCATATTGAAATCACACTTGTGTCCGTCAAGTGCCATCACCATAATTCGCACATGGAGGCATTTCTGGCTTTACTATTGCTACACCTGTACACTCGCATGACTCGCCCATAATCGAAGAGCAGCCGCAGGTATCCCATAAACGTACGTTAAAACGTATAACGCAAGGCTATAAGCGCTAACGCGAGATGCACACGTTTAATGCAATTGATAAACTGATTATATCAGTTTGTTACACGCAGAACGCGCTGTACTCGGAATAATCAAACAATTTCTTATTGCTTTACGTAAAAGTTGCATGTTTCGCAATCATCATGAAAATAATTAACCTCCAGGCATTAAGCAGCGCGTAATGAGATACCGAATAATTGATGCGGAACTCGAACTTTACGCTTGCATGAGAAGACTGTCAGATAAGATAGTCAATCTATTGACGAGAGGCAAGGACAGTCCCATTAAGCTAATGGAACTGATCGCCATCAAGCATTTTTGCGTAGGTGCGTGTAAATACATAGCAGACGTGCAACGGAGAAAAGAGCGAGCGAGAGAGGGGGAGGGAGAGAAGAAGAGAGGGGGAGAGAGAAAGAGGGAAATGATGCGTATCAAGAAGCGGAAGAAAAAGACGAGGAGGAGGTCGACGCTACTGTGTCACTACCACCTGACGCCGGTAGCCAGTAGGTAATTACCTGTACCTGAACTCCCGACAAACTAAACTCATGGCTTATGCGATATGACGGGGAGCCTCAGTATACACAAGCCCATCTTCCATCGCTTGCATAAAGTCGAGGAGGGTTACGTAGGGCGTCATCGTGATATCCCACGGAAAAAATCTTCTCGATGGCCTCGGTAACTGCCGCCGCGAGCTGCTGGCCGGGAAAGATTGCGAACAGCAATTGCGAAAATAGCGTTTACACAATTTCGCATGATTAAACGAATTGGAAAAAAAATACAAGTACAAAAAGTAATCGTCGATTTTGCTACGAATTGCAATTCTAATGCCTTCAGTCGTAAACTTCAATTATCTAACACATCGTTGCATACATTAAATCGTCGTTAAATCGTTATCGTTACGTCATTAGAAAATATCCAAATAATTTAGTAGCTTAAGAATTGAATAATAATTTCCAATCGTATATGAAGAATCGATTACCCCTTTATCAGTGCTTTTATTAATATAATTTGTTTCGCGCTTCTTTCTGTCGTCTGCCATTGAATTAATTTGCCAGTTGATAGGTGAACAGGTAGAACAGTACTTAATTGTAATCTGTATATTCAGTTGTTTAACATTTGTGATAATATTACTCGATTTAATACGCCATAAATATGTGATAAATGTTGCCCATTCTCTCTGCTGATGTTTATTCGCTATCGCTTTATTAACATTGATGTCGTTTCCGCGTGACAATTCGAAGTCAAAGTAAAATATATCAGACAAATTTAATTAATTACATTATGACAAACGTTTCCTTTTATTGCGCATTCGAAACGAGTTTCGCCACATTTATTGGCATAATTCGTCCGTTTCGATTCAGAGCGGTTGAGTACAGTCGAGCGAGCTGATAGAACGGTTGCTTCTCTCTAATGACGATGACTTTACGATACGAAATCGCAGCGATGTATCTCCGCGGCACAATGACGGCACCAATGCGGGTGCAAGCATCCAGGATTCATCCATTTTCAAATCGTAATGTCTCAATACGCTGGTGATCAAGTGGGCCGCGCGATAAAACAAAGATTAATTATACTCGCAATGAGATTTAACTCGCGGTCGCACGCCCGTTTTTTTTTCGATTCGGAAATTTTAGATCGCGCGCACCATCGCATATCCCAAATAAAATTATAATTACAATTATTTGCGGGGTATAATGACATGCAAATAATAAGCGAACGCTACAATTATGTAAATAGATTGTAATGAAGTAATTAACAAACATGATTATATATTATACGATGTTGTGGTATTATTATTCCATTATTGCGCCGGAGAAATAGTTGTAATATAAATTGTCATGATGTACTACCATTTAACGATACGCGGCAGTTAATGAAGTCTGTTTAATTATTTAAAACTGGCACTAGAAACTCTCTCTGGGACGAAAAATGAAGAAAAATGATCATCTTCTGTCAAATTTGAGTGGAAACGCTCTTCACGTATGCACGTCGTGATTTTTCTACGTAATCACCGTACTCAATTTTGCAGGAAATATTTATTTTTCACTTTTACTGCACATTTTATCCTCCAGACTATCCTCGTATGTTCACAGGCATAGATGGTCTGTGCACTAATGCCGATGCTGGCAGTTCTCAGGTGCATTGTCAAGTTCTCTATGGGCATGCCCAAGGTTAAAGACCATCAGCATGCGAGAGCATGTGCGCGATACGCGAATGTTTAATCAGCGTCGCGTTGTGATTGTGCGCGACTGTCACTCAATTCTCTTGCGACGAGTGCAATCTTGCCGGTTGCAGCGTACAGCTCTTGCTTATGTCATGTGTGTGTGCATATCTATGCACTCGTATGTACAAGAATCCCGGAGAGAAGGTATCTAGCTGGGTGATGGTGATGGTGCTGCCGCACCACCACCACCGCCGCCGCCGCCGCTGCTGCTGCTGCTACCACTGGTGTTGCTGATGTTGCTATCCCTTCGGCCAGCTGTTACTTCCTGCAGCGGTTCTCTATCCTTGTTTCGCGCCCGTCACTCCGTTCCTCTCCGTCGCTGGAGGCTTATCAGGAGGAATGCGCGCAGTTCTCTCCTTCGCCGATTTTGTTTAATCGTGACGAACATCTACGCCGCGTTATATTGCTGAACGGATATACGCATATGTTTTATCTACTATTTTTTATCGTAATAATAATTGCCGAATGAGCAAAATTAAGGATCGATGTCGCAGAGAATATGTGACGACTGAGCACAGATATATAGTTACGGAACGAATTTCTGACGGAAGGAAAATCTAAACGCCGTTTTTCCGCACGCTCCCGTTTATCTTCGTGACAGTAAAAAATCAAAATTTACCCATGTGGCTTTGGCGGACCATATGCGCGCACACATGTGCACAATTCGGAGCAGCGTTTGCGTCTGAAGCGTCGCGGTTCTCTGGTGCCGCGGGTAAATTTTTCTTTGAGTTCCGCTCAAAGATATCCATCATATAAGATGTAGTGCTATATTCAGAATAAGAGTCAAAAATTGGAAGGAAGGAACATCATATTTACATCAATTATTTCCTACACATCTGCATATTCGAGCAACACCTAATTTTATTTTGACAAGCTTACGCGAAGAAAATGTAAATTGTTTTAACATATCACCGATGTATTTATTTGTTATCTTTTTACTGTAACTTATATGTACCTATATGGCTTACAACAATATTATTATTGATCGCAGTTTTGTGAATCAGTAGTTCAAGAATGCAATTAATCAGACTTTAACACTAAAATTGTTATTACGTGTGTATTGCAGTTTAGCGCGCTTTAAATTGAGTTATTGAATTTTTGATTTCACGGACTTTTCACACACTGATTCCCCCCCGTGTATCAAATTCCTTCTTATCAAAGCTCTTTATTTCTTCGCATCACGACCAGACATCCCGCAACCATGAAGGAGTTCGCCGCAAACTATTACGTCAATCAACCGTTCCTTTTCCAAGTTACCTTACAGCGCATTGTTACTAACACAAATATTCGCGCAATTAATCAGCACGCTTGCGGCAATTCTTATTATTTCTTACCACTTTATTAAAATATTCTAGAAAACGTATAATTATAAGAAACTATGAAATTTTTACAAGTTTATGTTATAAAGTTTCTTTCGTAGAATTTGTCATTTTTTACTACTCGTAATTATTAAAGTTTTATGTCTGACTAGTTGTATCCTTCATCTACTGCAAAAATACAAAAAAAAATGATGTCGAGTTACAATTATGATTAATCTTGATCTGCATGTTTAAACTGTCGCGAAATTTGAAATATATTTGATCTAACATGCAATGTTTTTTTAGGCTGACAAGAGAATGTGTGCACCACTAATCGCAGCTGCTCGTACTAAGATTAGTGTGCCCGGCCTTACGCACTCGAATTGTACGCAAAGTTTCGTACGGAACAAGGTGGTCTTCGTGGGCGACGTTCGACGGGGCACGAAGAGAGCGAGATCGATAAAGCGCACGTGCTCCACACGGCTGAGAGTCCCTGGCTGGAAGTAAGTACGGTGGGACTCAGCTGTCGCCTCCTAATTGCCGGGACAATGCAACAGATGGCTTTGATCGCAATCCCTACCCCGGTCTTCCCACTCTCGAATTCTCCTTCGCCTCTGTCCTGCTCTCTCACTTTGTAGAGCATTCATCTCTCTTCCGTCGCTCCCGCCGTTTTTCTCGCATCCTTCCTCGCGAGCTTCCTCCCCGCCGATTCGATCTCACATCTCCGTAACTCCATGTGTTCGATTTCATCTCGCAGACAAGCGTGTCACTTAAGGGCCGAGGACGTCGAGATTTCATCCCGGTCACTATCCTACTCTGATCGGTTGCACACTTGATTCTCGGTGCGTCATAACGTTCAATGTCTTTTTTTTTTTTTTTTTGTTCTTTACCAGGAATTAATGCAGGAAGATGTATACGGCCTGTTCTCTTATAGTTAAAAATAACTGACAACGAGATTTTTCATTCAATCCCGGATCGCCTTCTAATTTCATTTTCTCATAAATATTAATCAACTATGTTTTCATTAATTTCCTATTTTTTTCTATAAATAGAAAGTGCAGAAAGATAAGAATTAGTTACGTCTCAATTCATTGCAACTATGTACAAAGAGAAAATCTCTACTACTCGTAATTATCGAAATTTTATGTCTGACTCGTGCATTCTTTATCTACTAACTTGCAAAAATACGAAAAATATCGAGTTACAAGCAATTATGATTAATCTTGATTTGTGTGTTTATACAAGTTGCCACGAAATTTGAAATATATTCTATCTAATAACACACAATGTTTTTTCTAGACGGACGACAGAAGAATATATGTGTCACTAATCGCAGCTGCTCGTAACTCGTATTAAGATTAGCGCCCGACTCACACACCCGAATTGTGCGCGGAGAATCTGTTAAAGCGATCTCGTTAATTAATGTTCGTAGACACGGCTGTGCCGCGTTACTTTTATTACCGCTCTAAAAGATCAAACATAATTAGTCGAATATAATCTCAAAAGGATTAATCTATTCCAAGTGACATCGCAAAATTCGTGTCGCTAAAGTATTCTCTCGTCAGAGTCTACTATTACGGATCTTTCAGTTTTATGAAACTCATCGGTCGCGAGGAGGAGGAGGACAAACGTACGCCGGCAAGAGGGAGAGGGGGGGTCGGGCAGAGGCTCCAGGTCGTAAGCCGCACCCGTAGGTACACGCGGTGTGCGGGTGACTATCGCGAAATACACCTCGAACGGCGAAGCATCGGGGATGCCCCGGCGCTGCGGCGGATATGATATCAGCCCCGAGCAGAATCCCAGTGGAAGTGTTGGACGTGCCTTATCGCGTCTGGACCAGGCAGTCAGGCGGCGCACGAACCTAACCGACACACACCGGGCCAACCAACCAAGTTGACTGACTGCTCACAGGAGTTTCGCCATCATCCCCTACGGAGCATTCTGTCTCTTTCTGTCTCTCTCCTGCTTGCGATCGCACATACGTATGTGTATATATGTGTGCGCATGTATATGTGTGCCTATGCACCTATGCGTGCTAAAGACCGCGAGAACACATGCAGGATAATCCAAAACTACCGAGTTAATTAGCGAATCATCGCATAAATTCTTCGGCCAACATAAAATCGATTTTTTTCTTTAAAAAATTATTATGTATTTATATATATTATATTTCTATCACATTTTTTTGAAATTTTTAATTATATCAATCGACAGTAAGCGATATCACACTTCAACACTCTATGATGATTTTATGGAATGTTGCGTCAAAAAATTTGATCAATCTCAAAACGAGTAGAGAAAGAGAGAGGGTGAAAAGAGAGAGAGAGAGAGAGAGAGAGAGAAAGCTCGCACTCGGACGCGATGACGGGGCTTTGATGTGCCAGAAGGGGCTTTTTTCCTGAGCCCCGGTTCCCAAGTTAGCTGCGGGCTCGCAGCCCGTCTAGATAACCGGCTCGGGCCGAATGTACGATTCGAGCGAGAGAGCAAGTGCGCGCGGGCTGGATATACGGGTACCGCCATACAATATTTCGAACTAATGCACGACGCGCCCACAGCGTGGGCTCTCGCGCGGACATTGGCGAGGTCGTTCTTTTTAATTTTCAGTTTCGGTGAATCGGGGTCAACTTGCAAGTATACTTGGAAAAGAGCGCTGTACGTTTTACTGAAAAGGAAACGAAATCAAGCTTTCAAGTGTGTAATTTCGCAATAGTTAAATGAAGACTGCTTCTGTGCAGCTTCGGCCGAATAAATTGAATTGAATTTAATTCAATTAAATTGAGAAAGATTGTAGTCGCGTTGAACTTACAGGATTTATGTCAATCTATTGTACATAGAGAGCGTTTACGTGACAACTTGATTCATTTTCATAAAAAATTTAATGAATTTTTACTGCTTTTGTTACTTGTATAAATTTTAATTAAAAACTTAATAATTTTGTTAGCAATTTAAGGTCAGTCGCCATATGTCATAATCTTGGCTATGGCGAGTGACAGATTGCAAGCGACAGGTTGACAAGTGACAGCTGCACCAAGCAGTGAAATCCGCGTTAAGTGCGGAAAAAGTAATGTACCGTGATGCGCGTCTAAAATTAGATAAACTGCACTTACCGCACCTGTGCGTTATACCATCGACATGCTCTCGAGCGAGGAACGTCGATATCCCGAATTAATAGAATAGCGAACTCGCGTTCGAGCGATTCAGCTGGGTACCGGAATAATCTGTTTTTTATGGCGCGCGATAGATCAAATAAACTAGAGTGGTCACGTTGTTAATTTTTAAACGACATGTGTCACTCCGTCGACGGGTTATTACAACATATTGCTGACCGGGATGGAAGTGAAGGGGGTATTAACAACTCTGAACGTCACATATTACGCAATGAGATACTTGGAATCGTCGGGCCGATTGAATTATAATTAAACATCAAGTAATAATAATACGCAATCGTTCACGTTAACAACGGCGATTAAAATTGCATGTATTTCAATTTCAATTCCCTCTTTGCGCTTTTCTAAATATAAGAACTGTCTGCAATAACCTGCTGACCGCGACGACAACCGCAATTTTTTATATATATATATATAGTAGTGGACCAAAATTTAAGACTCATATTCGCCAATCTATATCATTTTACCGAATCATACTTCGGTGTTTTACAAGTGTGTAGATAATCAATAAAAGTTACATATTGTATTGTGAATATTACATCATTCATCGATATATTTAACAGAGAAATAGAAATTGTCAGATTTATTAAGAACGAGATAAATAATGATGAAAAGTAATCATCTTAAATTTCTGTGCCCTATTGTGTCACGAAAACAATGGTCTAGCTAATTCTATTACGTCAAGAGTCTAGCGATACCTTCGCTTACATTTTGCAAAGCGTGACATTAGCCAGACCACAATACCAAGAGAAATCAATAGATCAATACAAATTGATATTAACACGCTGGCAAACAGGCCAACCTCACCTGATCGATCGTCTTCCACGCAAAGAAAGCAAAAATATTCGCTTCTAAAGATTTCTTAGCTACTAGGCAGTTACAAAAGCTACTTTACAAAAGCTTTTACAAAACAGAAATTATTCTATAGGACAAAAGTGACATTGATATTAAAGAGAAAGAGGATAGAAGAAGTCACGTAATATGTCACACGAATTGATAATATTTTTCCAAGGCTGCGTGGAAAACACTTGTGCGATTCACTCGCTATTGATTATTTCTACTCTACATACAATCGATAATATTTTGTTACGCGAATGTAAAATCAGGTTACTCACCCTTATTCTTGGCCTTAAGATCGAGATCAACCGGGAAAGGATCGACGGTGTTAGAGACGGTCGTCGTCGGCGGATGGCAGATAATGTTGGAGGACTGCAGAACAGGGGCGGCAACGGCGACCACCGCGGTGGTCGTCGACGGATTCGCGCCCACGGTGGAAATGCCATTGCTGTTAGTGACGGTCGTGGTGATCGCCGTCGCGGCGGAGATAGTGAGCGTCGCGACGGTCGTAGTAGTGACCGCTGATGTGGACGACGGCGAAGCCTGCTGGTAGTTGCAGCATTCCTTCGTCTCTTCCTTGACCTTGACCTTATGAAGAACCGTTGTTGTCGCCGCTCCGCTCTCCACTTTCATGCTCGCGAACCGCGTTCTCACCTGTGGATACGCGACCAACACAAATTAGATGCAAATATTTACACACTTTCGTGTCGGATCTTAAGATACTTAAAGCTAACGGTAGCTACATACGTGTAACGATGCGAGAACGTGCATTCACCGTGATTTAGCTATAGCTCGAATCGACACAAGCGCGACCGACGCGCGCGGAAAAACAAGCAAGCGGAAGACCGGGACACCCATATGCACGTCATCGCGCACCACGATTCATATTTGATTGATTCTATTTCATGAGAGTGCCGTACCAGAGAGCCGCATGTTTCGTCTACGTGCCCGGCCACGGAGCCGTCGCCGTGCATACCGATGACCGTTTTAATGGAACGGACGGACGTTAGTTTTACAAACCAACAAAGATTCGTCACGACGCGAGAGCACGGGATTATTGGGGATCCGCGAACGCTGCCGCCCATAATTGATCACGCCGCCGTCATTTTTGGTTGCACTCGGCACGGGCGCGGCCTACAAATGGACCATCATGGAAAATCTCGGCAAATGTTCCCAAACATGGAGCAAATATACGCGGTGACGCGCAGCAGCGAGTCTCGCAAATCTCTCTCGCCTTTCGCTCAAGTTGATTTTCCATTGAAAAGTTTGATTGAACGTCAACTGTTGTTACTAGTGTTTCGCACTTTACATTAAAACTCTCTTTAAATAACGAAATTAAAAGTCAAAATCAAAACTTCGTTAAATCGCAAATCGAAATACATATATCTTTAGCCAGTCCGGTAAATTGAAATGTCATTTACTGTCCGCTTTACCTCGGCGGACCTTTTGTTATGGAAATTATTGGAAAGTATTATGAAAGATTTTTTTCATTAGAAACTCTAATGAGACCCGAAACTCTCGGAAAACACTTGTAATAATATTGCGGAAAATTTACGGACAATTTTCGTAAACTAATTTTATGCGAACGTTAGAAATGCGCGTTAAAAACTTTACGCTTATTTAAGATTCTCATAACACACAGGATTTATTAGACTGCGGTGATAAAACTATGGATCAAGATTTTTTATCAGATTTTTAAATAATCAACTTTCCGTTCCAATGCTACTCTTCCTATTCACATTTTTTTACCACATATAAATACCGCGCGAATGTTTTCAAACACGCACACGAATCGTAAATTTTTTTTATGAAGATTTACATGAACTTGACAGGTGGTACCGGTGGGTACGCGACAGCAACTGCGTAAGTGCCTTGCGTTTTGTACGCAATACCACATACGATTTAGCCTCCTTTTCTCCGCTTATGCTCGCGCTCGCGCCTCTTCTTCTTTATCTCGTACTTACGCTGCAAGATCTCGTTTTATATTTATTACCATAATCGCGTTGCTAGGACTTTTACGAGTGTGGTGCTTCGCGCCGACATTATATCCGGCATTAAAAACGGTCGAACATTCCGTTCCTGTTTTTACAATTCAGCGAGAACAAATGTAATGTATGAATAATTTTCCGACGAATATCAAACGTTACCGATATTACCGATTCACCAACTTCCTGCGAATATTACCACAATTTTAGATTAATAATTATCCGACAGATAAATAGAAGCGATAAGTAGGAACGATATACTTGTATGCATAATATTCTAAATTGAATGCTTCAGCGATATTATTTCCAGAAAGTCACGTGCATCGGTTCTACAGCATGTGCCATTCGGTGCCTGAGGACAAAACCATGTCACCGGAAACGGCACGGTTGTAAGGAAATTGAATGGCGCCTAGTGAAGGAAATAATCATAACGAGCAATCCCACAGCTGTGCCATTTTTTTGCTGACTTTATTGAATTACAATAATTGACTTTTCTTTCCATACAATCCACCTCGCGTATACACGCAAAAACGATTTTTCGTTAGAAAATTTTGTGGAAAGTTAATAGATTTTTTTTAGCATTTAATTGATAAAATTTAAATAAACAAAAATGAAAATTAATTATATAATATCACCCGATGCTTTATCATTAAAATTAAATCGGATAAAAATATGATAAATATTCATGCGACCATATCGTTAATTTATGAAAAAAGTTTAGACAGTTCTTGTAATTTACAACATCGTGCACATGTGTGTAAATCGATTTGGAGCCAAGTGATACGCACCAGCTCCGTAATATTTTTGTTTCGATGCGAGCAAAATTACATGGGAAGAAAAATTAAATGGCACGAATGCGGAAACGCGGGAGTAATCTTTAAGATCCACGTGGCGCACCGCCGCCGTTCCTGCCGGATGGAATTTTATTTTATTGACGCGCACACAGCCCTGGCAGCAGACTGCCTTCGGTGCCACATGGTCCCGTTATTAACGTGAAATGCAAACGAGCCCTTCGTTGCGTCCAAGAAACGGCCGCTCGGATGACTCGCTATAATTTTTCGCGCGAAACTGCATCGCCAAATGCCGTCGAATTTTAACGTGGTTCGTAACTACACCGGGAAATTGGACGCGCGGGGGTCTTCGTTCGCTTTCCGAGCAAATTGCGCGATGAATTCGGACGATAAAGTCTATGCTAGAGAGTAACATATACTCGCACAGTTGTCGCACTCTGCTCAATCTCAGCGTTCGAGTAAAAACGCTTGCCGAATATTGTGATCAGTCGTTAACGTTTTTGCATCGTTTTACGTCGATCAATTGAATTTCTTAATTTCATTAATTTGACCATAAAAAGATACAATCACTTTCTATCTCTGCTCGATCATTAATGTTGATTGTAACAGTTCTGAATCAAACAATTGGATGACGCGATGGAAGAATTCATCATCGTGATTATTTGATTAGAAAGGAATAATTATAGAAACGCCATTCGGATAAAATCACAGCGTGATTACTGTCGGGTAATAAAAACGTCAACAGCCCATATTCTGGTCACGTAACAACGCTCTTCGATTCTTGTACGGCCGTTCATCAATCAATCCACCCCCGTATTTCGTGCGAACGATGGAAAAAGGTTGCGTAGTTTTCGGCGGATTCACGCACGGTGTACAGAGAGCAAATCGCGGACGCAACGCGTCGATCTTTATCGTGACAGATGGTCACCATAATTGGCGTCTTCTTTTGTTGTTACAGTTGTCTACAATCCATTCGCACAGTACACGCACAAGTGTTGCGATATATTTTGTCAAATGACACATATTACGGTGATAAAGCGAATAGAATGCGAACATTGATTAATGAAAGAGTAATATTAATTGTTAGAGGACACTTTACTTTGTGTATCAAACTCATTAATATCGCTACACATTATTCGCGATTACTCTTTTTCCACATCATGTAAAAATTTTAAATTTCAATATAAACAGATATTTCTACGCATGCGAGACGCACTTGTCGAAATGGAGAACACAAGATACAAAGTATTGATTTTAAAGAATACCAATCATGTATTACAAAAAATTGCGCAATTTGAATTCTCTCATAATTGCTTTGAAACATAAAACAAAAATTCTTGCTTTAATCCAGAAACATTTCGTTCAATTGCCTTTGACGCTTCAAATAATTCAATTGCTGTCATTTATTTGTGTTAAAAAAAACCTATTTTTTCTGTCTTTATAATCGCCATGTCGCTGTCCGTTACACAAGGCTACAGTTAGAATAGAATGTAATTGAAAGTCAGTTATTTAAAAGTGTGGCTGTGCAATATAATATTAATTAACACGTGTATATGATCACAATTATATATAAAGTAATATTTTAATATTGACTTTTTCAAGTTTATCGAAAAGTTCGATTAGATCCCTCGATGCTTAGACGTAGAATTTCACATTGCAAATGTAAAAGCAGATGCAAATGAAAAACCGGAAAGAAAGACGGAACAGCAAGGGTTAACTGTTATCCCAACGGTGTACGGTGTACCTTTAACACTCGGTGGGAAAAGTAATGCATTCACAGCGCTGCGAGAACTTTCGCAGGTAGTTACATTCGCGATATTGCACGCTACGCGCGCAACGTTGAAAACGCAATTAACTCGGATGTCACCTGCGATCGATCGCCTCCGAGAGGAGAGTCCCCCTTCCGCCCTCGTCGCGTCGTTAAGGTGAGCTTTGGCCCCGACTTGCCGGAGACGCGCGTCTCCGGCAATTCGTTAAGACGCTTAGTTAAGCAAACAAGAGCGGCTGCCGCTGCGAAGTGATATACGTGCCGCGACAGAAAATCCGCGGCTCTCCCGCTCGTAATTGCGCGCAGCTGTGGTTACGCGCGCGGATCTAAAAGCTTCCTCTTTCTCGCGTGCGCGCGCGTCACGCTTTGCGGCGCGAGTGGAAACGCAGATCTCGATGAAGATCAGAGACAAACCGTCCTCGAATTTTTTTTTATTCCTCGTATGTGTTAAACGTCGACGACCAGTTTTTCATCGGGGAAAAGGGGAGGACTGTGGTAAATTGCAAATAACGTCGGCGTACCGAATTAATTTTATTAATTATACTTGCAATCGATGTAATTATAAACGGCGTTTATTGTCATGAATAATATTACAACAACTGTGGGCCGAACTTAATTGATTGTATTTATTATTATAATTGTAACGAGATAGCGCGTAATAAACAGAAACGGACAGCCCCGCGCTCCTCACACCCACCCATTTTCCCTACAATCGTGCCATTCGCGATTTTCGAAATAAAACGCAAGATTCACTGGCAATGACGACGACTCCATCAAACGTTTCGCTAAATTCGCTCCACTTTCAACGGCGGTGCAAGAAAGGAGAAAAAAGTGCCGGACAGGCCAGCGCAGCCGGTGGGAAAAAAGCGATACGGATAAAAGAGGATGAGAGAAAGATAAATAGATGGATAGATAGAAATAGATTTATTCCGTTCTGGCTAACGGAGAAAAAGAGTTGCAAAGAGAGAAAATCATTTATTAAGATAATTTATTGATTACTTCACTTTACCTCATCCGTATATCACGTATGATTTTCAGATAACGTTAGATGTTCGGTTAAAAATTCGATTGTACATAAAAAAAATCAACGTGCAAATAATATAATAGAAT